ATATTTTTTTTTTTGCATAATTCGTGTTTACTCAAATTGTGAGTCTCTCAGAGAGGGATGGAGTATTTATTTTATTTTTATTTTTCAATTCTCTTTTTGGTGTGAAGTCAGCTGTCATCAATTCCTAGCCCTTAATTTTGGGTTGAATTTTTTTTTCTTTTCTGCAAGTATCTACGCATGAAATTCAAATGCGCCATTAGCGCCTGTTTGGCATTCTACTCTACCAAGTTTTTTAAAATATATATTTCTACCATATTTACCAAACAAGTTGCTGCAAATTGCAGGGAGGTTAATGGAAGTGGCATGTAGCATGTTTCTGGGCTCACTTGGTATTGCCAGCTGTCATCAAAATTAAAACTCTACCCAAACAAAGCATAGAGAGAAAAAAAATCAGATGGTTGAGTGCTCAAAATAGTGCCTAAAACATTAATAGTTTGGTGAGTTTACAAGAAAAGAACAAAAAAAATGAAGAAGGAAGCATCCACGTGGCAATATATTTTGTAATAAAACACTTGTAATTAATTACGTATATCAATTTTTTCATTTGTATTTACTTTTGTTTTTGTAGGATATATCTATTTTAGGGCAATATATACTTTGTGTGGAATTGTGGATATATGAAGCCATTATTAATGTTATACAAAAAAAAGTGTTACAAAATTTTATACCCCTCCACGCTCTATCTCAAATTAAAGTGCATGTTTCGGTCTACTAAAAAAACTTTTCGGTTTTGTCTCTAAAAGATGTTTCCATTTTGATTTTTAAGAAATTTAAGGGAAAAATATTTTAGTGTTGATTTTTCAGAAATATTTTTAATCTGATGGGTAAAAGTAGAATGTGATGTATAGATTATTAGTAAAAAAGTACGATGAGATATATATGTTAGAGATTAGTATGGATAACAATGGTTTTTAATAGGAATTGTGAAGGATTTATAGAGGTAATTGATACAATTTACTTATTATACATTTATGAATTTCATAAAAAAATGAAACATGATGTGATATCAATAATTCAATATAGGGAGTATTGTTTTATCAAAAAAAATAACAAAGCTTGAGAATAATTGCAATAAATAAATGTGTGAAAATTAACACAATTGCTTCAGAATAAACATTATGGCCCCGTTTGGCATCAGCGTTAGAGATTAGCGTTAGCGTTTTCAAAAAGCTATCTGACGGTAGCCTTTAGCGTTAGCGTTTTTAGATTTAATCTACACCATTAAAATTTTATCCAAAACGCTAACGCTAATCGAAAACGCTATTACCAAACGAAGCCTATATTGATTCACAATTAGCATCTCTCTAGGTACCCGATCGAGTCTGGCGTCGTGTGAGGTAGTTGTGGTTTGCCATGGCTGCTGATGGCTGCCTTTCTCCTTTCTTCTCACATGTCTCCAGCCCTAGCCTCATCTTTTTTTTACTCCGTATATACTAATAATTCTTGAATAAATAAATTTAAAAATGATTGAATTCTGTATATTGCTCGAAATAGAAAAAATAAAAATTAGTCAAAAGGAGTATATTAGTTAACTGAGAGACTATATTATACATCCTGGTGGCTCGAAAGGATAAAGCATGAAGATACAAATGGTGAAAATTTCACCATTTTTTGGTTTTGGGGTGTGATGGAATAAATCAAAATGGATCTCTAAAGTGTCTGCGTTTCTTTAATTAATGAAGTAGCAGTTAGTCAAGCAATGCAACTTTCGACGTTGAGCCGGGTCTCTTTGGAAACAGCCTCTCTACTTTCGAGTAGGGGCAAGGTCTGCGTACACACACCCTCCCGAGACCCTACTCTTGTGGGATTTAACTGGGTTGTTGTTGTTGTTAGTATATAAAAAAAGTACGTACAAATTATGGAGTATAAATTATCGAATGGTCGTAATAATGATTGGAAGGATAAAAATTAAACGGAGGGAGTACAATTACTTTGAGATGGAGGGAGTATGAAACAAGCTCCAATATTAATACACAGAGTATTTTTTTTATTAAAAGAGTAACAAAAATATGTAAAGAAAGTGAATGAAAATTAATTATGTAAATAGTTAATTAATCCTTAGTCTAAAATAGCATTACACTCTTTATTATTCAGAAGTCACGAAAGTTTTTATATATTTGGGCGTTTTGATTGATTATTTGATAAAATAAAATATTTTTGTTACCTCTTGTTTTGTAGCATTTTTGACTTAGTTTTTAAATAGTTAAAATTTATTTTTAATTCTTTTACACATTTTTAAATAAAATAAATTTAAAAAACTTGAAATTTCACTTCATTTTGCGTACATTTTTTGACAGAGAGAGTAATATATTCTCACTGTCCATTTTTTGTTTTCCTATTCATCACAACAAAATCTTATCTTTTTAAAAGTTATTCTATTTACAACTTGGTATATAAAAAAGTATTTGTTCAAAACTAGATCAAAGGAAGTATAAATTACATTCTTTAAACCTATTTCATATATTAAAAATTTTACAAAACAAGATATGATAAAATTGTTTTATCTTATCAAATAATTAATGAAAATATATAAATAAATATAAATTATCGAGAGACCACAATAATAAATAGGAAAATAAAAATGGAACGAGTGTAAAGGGTAAAGAAGAGTAATTGTGATATATACCTCTTTTCATTAAAAATCATTCTCCAATAGGAGAGGTAAATAAAAAGGCATTATACCTTCTTCAATTTTGAAGAGGTATCTTTACCTTCTTCATTTGGGGAGGTATATCAACTTTTCCTTCCTTTTAAATTCATTTCATCAATTATTTTAGTTATTGTAGTTTTGCTTGAATGTATTATTATAAATTTTTTTAATTTATATCTTTGTAATTGTAAAACTTAGAGCATCTCCAATCATGTCATTTTGACTTGCTAAAAGTTATAATATAGCAAACCACCCCTTTTTCTTTTCTCCAAGGGGTGTGCTATATTTTAACATGCTTGTCAAAAATTAAGTTTGGCTTGCTAAATATACCAAGCCAATCAAATTATAGCAAGCCCATCCTCCACTTTGAAATTAAGCATCTCCGTTAAAGTTTGCACCATAGAACATCTACGTTCCTCCTTCAATCTTTGTCCTCTTAAACTTAAAATATAGCAAGTTATGATTGGAGAATAGGACAAAAAATAATTTTCTATATTACTATTCACTTGTTAAAATACAACAATAGAAAGCTAATATGACAAATATGGTTGGAGATGCTCTTAACGAGTCAAGAATTGACAAAAAAGGATACTTTGTTTTTTAATTTTGCACTCTGTATTTTTAAGTTTTTTCTATTCGGGTATTTATAATTTTACATGTGCAATTAGTCATAATGTATATTTAATTATTTCAAAACTGGCATTCTAATTTTTTCCCAATAAATTAGTGGTATTTTTATAAAATCTTTAAATTTAAAAATGTAATCAGGAAGAAACAAAGGCAACAAACCTCAAATTTACCTCCCCGTGATTTTTTTAAGAATGTATGTTTTCTTTTCTAATAATTAAAATTTGATTTAAGTAGGCAAATCAACTACTCCCTCCGTCTCCCTGTATTTGTCCACATTTGACTTTTGGAATTGTTTATCTAAGCACTTTGACTCATCAAATTTTCTCAATGTGTAAGCCTAAATATAGTTATGTGTGATCTTGTTTGATTTGTCTTAATATATATTTCTCCAAAATACCTCTCACCATGGAGTTGCTCTTAAGGCTATCAGTATTCCAAATCAACAACCACTCAGTATCATATCAGTGTTGACTCTAGTTATCATCTCACTCACTTTACACTCAAAATTAAAAGCCACTCGTATTTTTATTATTTATTTCATATTTACCTATTTTTTCAAACTAAATTCTATCTTTTAAAATAAAAATAAAACTTTTTCATAATTAAGCTGAACTAAGTAATTAATTTCATTAAATTTTTTAATGTGATTCAGCTCAAATTTCGTAGGATTGAGTCTAGTGATTCTCACCTCATCCAAAATTCTATCAAAGTAATTATGTAAAATCACCTAATTCTAAGGCTATCTGTAATGCTTTATGGAAGCGTGTCCGTGATCCTACATGGCGTGCGCCCCATTAATGTGACTCCTTGTGAATATCGTCCCTCCTTGACTGTGAATTACTTGGGTGAGTGCATTGTGGGCGTGCTGACGCAAGACAAATTTTTCGGTGGTCTTAAGATTTACACTCATTTTATGCACTTTAGTATATAAGTACCATGGGTGCACTGAGCTCTTTGAAAAGTAGTATAGATCCCCATGCCAGCTCACTAAAAGTGCAAAATGTCTACATTTCACTTGTAGACCTTAGGATAATGAAAACACAATGTTGGAGTATTTTTTATTTTTTCTTTCATTTAAATTTTCTTAAGTAATGTGTATTTTGCTCATAAATTTTTTCTAAGTAAATTATCTGACAAAAAATATGTCATTGAAAATCTTTTTACAAGATCTACCCGAAGACACCAATATCGCATATATAATTCTGACGCTATATCTCGCTTATATTTTGAGGCAAACACTTTCTAATTAAACAAACTATGTTATATTACTATTTTTTTGAACGAAACGTATTTTAAATATAAATAATGTCTCATTTATATTTTTTTCTTTTAAACTACACTATTTTATATTTTTTCATTTGTTTTGTTACTAAAAAGTAAAATAAAAAAATAGTACAAAGAAAATGTTCTCTCTTTTTTGAATATATGTTATATGAAAAAGTTTTTTTTTCTCTATTTTATTTTTTAATTCTATAAAAAAGTAAAAAAAAATTAAAACCAAAAATTCGTTTGAACGAGAAGAAAAATTAAACGTGTAAACCAAAAAAAATAAAAAAAACTATTAATTGTGTTAAATAGGTTCAATTTCAAACGTGTAAACACAGAGGTAAGGAAGAAGACATGATTTCATATCTGTATCAGGTGATTTAAAAACCGAAAGCTTAAAGAAACCAATTTGTACATTTTAAAAAAGAAAAAAAGAAACTCACTGAATCCATTATGTAAACCATACAGTTTACTACTCAATTCCTTTGTATTTGGTGGGGAAAAAAAGAAGAAAACTTATAGCACATGACAACAATATATATATAAACTTTAGGACTCTATGGATGTAAAAGATATGTAAAGCTTGTATTCACAACTCAAAGGAGATATTGGAAGCTAATATTTCTTCTCTTTAAGCTTCAACAGCAGCACCATTTACAGGCTCTTGGGGACACATTTTCTGGTCAGGGCTCTTCATTTTGGTCTGTTTAGACATAGTCTTAGTGACTGGAAGATGACCAGAAAGAGCCTTGGAGTGGACATTTCTTGTTGGTTTCTTAGAAATGGCAGTGCTTTTATCCGCATTTGGCGATTTTTCGGGTTCTTTGGCAACCATTGAAGGGCTCAGATTTGATCCTCCATTTTCAGAGCTATTATTCGCTGTTGACGCAGAGCTTTTGTGTCTGCCGAACTTTGGCGATTTCGGTCGTGTTGTTGGTATCTATAAAATTGATCAAACCATTTGAACATCAAGCTCATGATCAAGAGGGGGAAAAATGTGATTTTTAAAGTCTTTTTTCCACATTCATTCTCCATTGCTAAGATAAACAAGAACAAGTCTGCAACTTTAGAGTGCATTACCTTCTTCAGTTCTGATTTTGGAGCAGGTTCCTTATAGAAGCTCGGCATAGGCGTGGCTTTAAAAGTTAAGCTCTTCCTAAATTTCTTTATCTCGGCTTCTTGGTTTTCCTGCAACAAATCCCAGTTGAGTGCGCGCTTACGGTCCAAACTAAACTAAAACGAGAATTTACAACTATATATATACCTTTGATTTTGCCTGCAGGTTAGTCCTCTCCGTTTCACGCGCCTGTATCTTCTGTTCAAGCTTCGAAAAGAACTTAAGGAACAAGAAACACCATTAGTTAGCTGCTGTACAAGAACCAGATCCTTAGTGTTGAAATGGCATTTGGGAACCATAGTTTAGGCATCACACCTCTTTTCGTTTTTCAGCACGTTCTTCCAACCTCGACGAAAATCCTCCAACACTGGTCCTATGTTGCCCATGAGGAGTTGTGTTACTGGTTACAATTGGATTAGATATATCACAACCAAAATATTGCACTAAGAACTAAGGAAGGGAACAAGTGTGCTAATTGTAATTTAAAAGAAGGGCTAATTCCAACAGAAGAACAGTACGATGAAGCAGTCGACCGCACATCCTCGTTCTCCTTAAGAGGCAAGATGGATTTAATAGGTTGCTTATTTTCATCAGTTGGTCTGCAAATCAATGACTATAGTGAATAAGAAAATCCTCATGTGTAAAATCTTCAGCAGTTCTCAACAAAGATCAATAAAAAAATTACACTGATGAAGAAAAACACTAAATTTTTTCACTAACCCTTCAATTCTGTTGCCTTTCTCTCTTCCATTTGCAGAAATAGTGTTCCCGGCTTGCTTTTATGAAATGGTAGAAATTAACAAAGAACATCAAACAGGATACAAACCAACAACAACAACAAGAAAGAATAGGGTCCCACAAATGGGGTCTGGGGATGGTGAGTGTACGTAGACCTTACCCTTAACTTAAACAGTAGAGAGACTCTTTCCTAAAGACCAAAAAGAGTATAAAATATGAATCAATCGCCAAAATTCCAATATTTACCTTAGATTGGTGAAGACTTGGTGCAGCTGGCAAAGTTGTTCTTTTGCCAGTTGCATTGATGTTAGCACTCTTCAACACACCGGAGGTACGCCTTCCGGTTGGGTTTGAACAGGAGACCGGTTTTGAGGCGCCGTTTGGAAGTGAGGCCTTGGGATTCACTTTCTTAGGATACACATCAATGCTTTTCCTCATCAAATCTTTGGAAACACATTTGGGAGGGAATGAGAGACTCTGAGATATACTTGCCCTTTTCGCACGCGCCAATGCAGCCGAGCCTCTTGAACTCTCCTTAGCCTGTTGAGATGATTCTTTACTTCTCAAGACTTTCCCAGATGTTTCATTTTTTACTGCAGATAACAACTTGGGTTTTACCCCAACCATAGCATCATCTCCATGAACTCCATTTTCTTCATTAGGTTTTTCCCCCATAGAAATAACTTCTTTCTCCGCATTCGGATTTTTTTCATTCTCAATAACACAATTCTTTTCCTCTTCCCCTACCGCTGCCCTTTCTGATCCCATCAAGATCAACTCTTATCTACAAAAGAATCCAACAATTGTGATTGAATCACTACATACATAAAGTATGATGTGCCATATTTTGATCTAGTCCATTAATTACCCGAACCTAAAACATTGCCAAAAAAAGACTCTTTTAGCTTAAACACTTAATAACACTCAATTTTAACATCACCCACTGCAACAAGATGAAAGTTTCATAAACTCTGATCTGACAGAGAATTCCAAGACAACCCAACAAAGATCTAGCAAAAACCAGGCACTTAGTGATAGGGCAGAGAGTTTTGGGAAGTCAAGATGATGCACAAAAAAATGGGAAAATTAGTGAAAGAAAATGAAGAGTGAGAAGAGAACAGAGTACCTGAGAGAAGTGAGAAAGAATGGGAATATGATGGCATTCAGAAATCAAAACCTGCTTGGCTATGAAAAGGTTGGTTAAGGAATAGTGGGAGGGATTAAAAAGAGACGGTTGCTCGGGGAATGTTGAGAAAACAAGATGCCCATTTTTATGAAATGTGTGATTGGTCAAAAGAAAACAATAATGCTATCATGGCCCAAACTTGTCTTTTTCACACATTATATTCGTCATTTTTTCCAAAAGCTATTCGCCATTTTTTTCGAAAGCTCCTTGTCATTTTTTTCTAATGAGTAATATGCATGAGTAGTCCTCCTAGTCCATACTTTATTTAAAAAGCATGGATTCTCAATTTTGTTTTCCCGCTCATTTGGTGTTCCACCAAAAATGGTAATTGTTCACTCGATATGGTAATTACTCAATTAAAATGGAGCTACACGAGTCATTAATGGAGTTACCGTAGTTAAGTAATTACATAATTAAAATGGTAAGTAATTTAAAGTAATAATAAAATATTCAAATTCGTAGGTGTTCTAATTGTAAAAAGGTAAGTAATAATAAAATATTTAAAGTAATAATAAAATATTCAAACGAGTATTGTAATTGTAAAAAGGTAAGTAATAATAAAAAATTCAAACATAATTACACTTACCGTTAATAAATCAATCCTTTTTTAATCAGTTTATACGAATGGTAATAATTATATTTAATTATATTTACTAATATATATGTAATAATATCTAATAACTTATTTCATTTAAAAATGGTAATTAAAAACGGTAATAAAAAATACACATAGAGTAATAAAAATAGGTATAGAGTAATGAAAATAGGAAAGTACGTATAGAGTAATGTACATTTTTATCACGTACACAAAAATGGTAATAAAAAATTATTAATGGTAGAGATGTTGAACATTAATGCAGCGAAACAAATTTGGGCAGATTCTTCATACCATAACTTGCATAAACAAAATTAGAAATTAAAATATAAACAAAAAAGATAAATAAAAACATAATTTTGGGCAGATTCTTCATACAATGACTTGCATAAACGAAATTAAAAATTAAAATACATATAGAGTAATAAAAATAGGAAAATACATATAGAGTAATGTACATTTTTAACACGTATACAAAAAATGGTAATAAAAAATTATTAATGGTAGAGATGTTGAACATTAATGCAGCGAAACAAATTTGGGCAGATTCTTCATACCATAACTTGCATAAACGAAATTAGAAATTAAAATATGTATAGAGTAATATAGAGTAATGTACATTTTTAACACGTATACCAAAATGGTAATATAAAAGAAACACCGAAATTCACAAATTCATGTAGTATAAATACGCTACCTTACCGGGCTAGAAAAGTAAACGAGTGTTCATGAATCTTTTCAACCACCAAAATCAAATTAAAAAACCCCAAAACACAATAATATTACTCTTCACATTTCACAAAACAAAAGGATATATACAATGTAGAATTTCAAAATCCTACAAAACGAAAACATACATAATCTTTTAACACATGCCCAAGCATAGCACGGAAGAAAATAAAATCATAAACCAACTCCTCCATTTCCAATCATCGCCTCAATAACATTATGACAATGAGCCCTAATAACAAGCTCGTGCATAGCACGGGGTACAGAACTAGTGTATTGTATTACGCACTTTTATTGTATTTCTTAGACGCGCTATTATCATGTTTTGTATTCAAATTATTAATCAAAATGAAATGTCCATGGATAGGAATAAAAAAGTATGAAAATATCAAAATAGGAGACCTAAATCTTTTAAGACCAAAATAGGAGTATAACGGCAGTGTGGTGTGAGAGTATGCGTTGGCAGTGTAATGGAAAGTGATGACAGTGTACGTAATATTTCAGTGTGATCAGTCAATCACCTACGATCCGCGACGACGTAACGCTCTAGTGATCGGCGGCAACAAATGACAGTGTGGTGGTGATAGTGTAGTAGTTACAATGTGGCGATTGATGGTGTAAATTACTTGACCGGTCAAACTATACTAGACCGGGTCTAGAATAGTTTGCTTGATTTGGCAAAGTAAGAAAGGTAAAAACACGCAGACTGACCGGTAGAACTTTAGGTGGAACACCTGTAGCCCAATTTATATTATAACGGAGAATGCCCGGGTGCTTTTACAAGGGAGTTTAGAGAAAATGAATTCAGATCCCTCTTTCTGAGGTTTACACGAGTATTTATACTAGGCTAAGGGGACAGGACCATGTGCGCCCACGTGGGGGCATGCCGCTGACGTGGTGCGAGGTGACTGGTTTCGTCCTCAAGCCGCCTTGTCGCCTTGTGAGGGGGATCATTCCCTTTGTCGAGTAGTGCCTTGGATGGATTCTTCAGCATCTCCAGTTGTCCTCTACTGACATGGGTCGCTACACGCCAAGCCCTCGCAGATCCTCCTCTGCCGACACTTTCCAACCCCAGAAACTACACCGGGTAATCTCCGAGGGGTGAATTCATCGAAGTCTGGAATAAATAGGATGATAACGTAGTTTGACCGGTATACTTTTTGTGAAGTGTACCGGTCAAATTTTGGCCGATGATATATCGTTTTGTTGACGATTTAAGTCTCCCTTCCAAAACTTTCGAGATTGTCCGGTCAAAGATTTGGCCTTCTCCTTTGACCGGTCTTGGGTGAAATACACCCATCAATGTTGTGTGTGTGGCAGTCTAACAATGGGGTTTAGTCTTAAAAGACCTATAACTCCTATTTTGGTATTTTTATACTTTTTACTTTTATCTAGAGAGTTCTTCCTTAATGAAATGTTCAATTATTTAAAGTTTGATAAAATAATAGTTTGAAGTAAATTTTTATTATTTTTAAGTTTTTAGTTTAATTAGTTAAATTAAAATAAGTTTTAAAAAATAATATTAAAATTGAAATGAAAAAGAGAAGGTATATCCTTAAAAGGTGAAAAAAGAAGAAGTGAAAGTTGAAGTTGACGTGATGCTAAATTGACAAAAGGGAAGAAGGGGGAGGAGGATGCACCCTCATCCTAAAGATGGCATAACTCAAGTTAAGAAGATAAGAAGTGTTGGCCCAATTGATGTTTGTGGAATCAATAAACGTATGGGTATACTAGAAGGATTATGCTATGTGTACCCCAAGGTTTGTACCCCGCAGTTATGCACCAACACTTTGTGTTGGTGTAAAAATAATTTTTGTTAAACGCACCAACATTTGTGTCCGTGTGAATATTTATTAATGCACCAACACTTGTGTCGGTGTAAACCATTAAAATGTTTGTGCAAGCCTGTGGTGTACAAATGGGGTATATTTTTTGGTGTAAGTGTAGCATGGTCCATACTAGAATGACATACTTATTTGTACACCAATCAAATATTTGTACACCAATCAAACGCAACTACTAAGTATCTAAGTAGTGTAAAAATAAGAAAAGAGCCATGCTAGGGGTACACCAAATGTGTACCCCATTTGTTCCTCACCCCTTCTCCACCATTCATTTTTATCTACTTTTTATTTATTTAATTTTTTTAAAAAATTTTTGCCCATTTTTGTGGTAATGAAGGGAGTGGAGGACAAATGGGGTACACCTTTCGTGTACTCCTAGCATTTTTCATAAGAAAATGAGGCATACTATTTAATATACCCCTAGCACAACCTTGTCGAAGGGACCCAAAACTTGTCGAAAAGACCCAAAATGTCTAACCAATAATAGATCCAATCATGTGTTTGAAAGGTACTTCACATGGACACTAGTTCACCTGACGCAAAACCCGGCTGACCGGACACTTCAACATGTGAGCATGGTCTTCGAACTTGGAATATATACATCCAACAAATTGCATTATACTTAGAGCCATGCTAGGGGTACACCAAATATATACCTCATTTGTCTACCACTCCTTTCTTCACCATTCATTTTTATTTACTTTTTATTTATTTAATTTTTTTTTAAAATTTTTGCCCATTTTTGTGGTAATGGAGGGGGTGGAGACAAATGGGGTACACCTTTGGTATACCCCTAGCATTTTTCTTATACTTACTCTTTATCCAAGTAGAATCTTAAATTTTTACTCCCTCCTCTCAAAAAACTTGTAATATTCCCACCGTTTCAAATTATTTGCCACACTTGTATTACCAAGGTAAAATATCAAGTTTTTTCAATTCATTTTTTTACATATTGATAAAAAATAAAAATTATATATCAAAATACTACATGAAAAGTTTTTCGAAATAAGAGGTGTCAAGAATATTTTATTTTATCAAATAACCAATAAAAACGTAGAAATAAACAAAAGTTCTCGCGACTGTTGAAAAAGCATATGTGATAAATAATTTGGGACGGAGGAAGTATTAAGCTAAATAAACTAAATTTTTGAATCTTTCAACATTCCAGTTCCAATGACATAGCTAAACAATGTCATGGAATCACCCATGTGTCATATAATACTTCGTTCATAAAATTGACAGTTCTTACCTCACTTACTTCTCATGTCTCACTTAATTCTTATGGTAAGTCCTCTCACCCCGCCTCGCCCCGAACCCACTGACACCCCCCCTTCAATTGTATTCCCCAAGTTTAATTGACTTTGGAATCAAAATTTTGACTCCAAATCAATTAAACCTGGGGATGCAATTGAATGCGGTGGGGCAGTGGGTTCGGGGGGGTTTACCGGGGGTTAGATATGGTAGGAATTGTCAATTTTACGAACGAAAAATTGTATGCCCCCGGGTCATTGAGAGCCGTCCTTTTTTTCAATTCATTTTATTTAAAAAATTAATATAAACATAAAAAATAAAACTTACATATTTAAAAACTAGTGAAGTGTGCCAATCTTTTTGGGACCGAGGGAGTAATTCATTTTATTTAAAGATTAGTATATAAATAAAAATAAAATTTACACATTTAAAAAGTACATCAAAAGTTTTTCAAAACAAGAGGTGACAAGAATATTTTATTTCATGTAATAGTTAATGAAAACACACAAATAAACAAAAATTCTGGTAATTTTTAAATTGTAAAGTGTGTAAATCATTTAGAGATAGATGAAGTATTTTCTTTTGTTTCATTGTATTTGTTTAGTTGGACTTTTTTGAGTCAAACAAAATGAACTTTAAACTTTAATTAAATAAAAAATATAATATATTTTGTTATGAAAATGATTTTACCATATTTATCTTATTGAGAATTTTTAAAATTGTGTTTCAATATACTAATATGTCATACAAATTGAAAGTAATACTCTTTCCGTTTGCAAAAAAGCTTTCTACTTTGACATGGAATAATAATAAGGAAGTATTAAATTATACTCCCTCCGTCCTATATCTTTCAAGAAAACCCCCTAAATAGGAGTAAAAGATATATCATATTCCAAAATAGGATTTCAAACTTAAACTCCCCTAGATAGGAGTATTTATTCTAATCTCTATTAAACCGGGCTTTCACCCCTTTCGGATCAAACGCTATTATGGTCCTTTTTCTTCTCCTTCTACACATTCTAACATGTGTCCTAGCCGTACCGCATGATTCGCCTGTTCATCTTAATCTCTCCAACTGGTCTTTTTCACATATTAAAAATGAATCAAAACGACTTGGACACCTTGATTTCTACTCCTTATAAAATTTTGATTTTACATTAATTGAACTAAACTGTTTTTTTTGACATTATACAGGAACAAGTTTGTCATTATGTAG